CTCCAGGTCACCGCTCGACGCGGCCTCTCACTGGCAACCCTGTGGCACATGTGTTTGCTTAGCAGTCACGGTGACCAAAACAACATGAGATTTAACCCAGCGCCCGAGAAAACGATGCAGTCAAGAGACGTGGTAGACAAGATGCACGAGGCTGCCTCTGGCTTAACTTGGCACGTTGCTTTACGGCCAACTTTCCTAAGCAGAAAGACCATACTCTAAAATAACAATAAAAAGTATAATATAATATATAAACCAGTAACAGTCCTTTGCTATCAGTACCAGATACTACGTACTTCCCACGTGATGGCCGCGCCGGTCTGTTCAACCAGCGCCGCCGCGAACACGTGAGGACTGCGCCGCTCGCCGATGCTGCAATGGCTACGGCATCACTAGGTGGCGGGAGCCTTGCAGCCCCATTACAATCTTATGGGGCCACCGCTGTTGACGGAAATGTAGTTATGCGGCAGATGACAGTATTCTTACTGGAATGTTAGGAAGGGCTTCCTGGAGGAGGTGGCATTTCCCCGCGATCTGAAGTGTGAGTAGATGGGTGGAGGGATAGTAAGGCATGTTCCCGCCAAGGGAACAGCATGCTCAAAGGCGCAGAGGCATGGATCATGNATTCAGGAGGGCATCGTGGAGGAGGCTGGGTCCCCAGGACTTCTCGTTGCTGCTGTAGGGCCTGGTGGTGCACGCTTACCGAAGCGCGTGAAGGCCCTGGGCTCTCCCTGGGCTCTCCCTGGGCCAGATCACAGAGGGTTTCAGCTTGTAGCCTGTGACACTGCCCCCAAGCAGGACTGTCTCCTGTTCATAAAAGCCTCGAAACCTCACACTGGCGTGGCCTCCGTAAGGCACAAGTCCTTTCAGGCATTCTTTCCAGAATAGGGAGTTTTCACCCATATGCAATATTTTCTCTGGCAAGCAAGTTTTCTTTACAATTGGCTTCTCTGGAGTTTCCAAAACTTCCTCAGCTGCCTTCCCGTGAGCACTCACGCTCCCTGCTCGCCCTCACATTACGGGGTGAACGTGACTTGAACTGTGTCCTCCACCCAGGGGGGCAGTGAAGTCCACGTCAGCGTCAGGCCGGCCTATCTTTCGACATCGCCTACATTTCCCTTTGGCCCGGAGCGTGGTGCCGGGAGGGATGCGCTTCTGCGCCTGGTCTTCAGCCCAGGCCATCGGGAGTGTCCCCGTGGCTGACAGAGGCCTTCCAGAATCTTCATGAGCCTCGCTGCTCATGGAGCAGGAGCTTCAACAGCTTCCGTCACTGTTCTTGCTCCTCGAGGTCGTGGCTGTGGAGGTGCCTGACCGGCCAGCAGTAGCACCACTGCCTTCCCCCTTTGCGATCCTCATCAACCCCCTGTAACTCCATCTCCAGGTCACCGCTCGACGCGGCCTCTCACTGGCAACCCTGTGGCACATGTGTTTGCTTAGCAGTCACGGTGACCAAAACAACATGAGATTTAACCCAGCGCCCGAGAAAACGATGCAGTCAAGAGACGTGGTAGACAAGATGCACGAGGCTGCCTCTGGCTTAACTTGGCACGTTGCTTTACGGCCAACTTTCCTAAGCAGAAAGACCATACTCTAAAATAACAATAAAAAGTATAATATAATATATAAACCAGTAACAGTCCTTTGCTATCAGTACCAGATACTACGTACTTCCCACGTGATGGCCGCGCCGGTCTGTTCAACCAGCGCCGCCGCGAACACGTGAGGACTGCGCCGCTCGCCGATGCTGCAATGGCTACGGCATCACTAGGTGGCGGGAGCCTTGCAGCCCCATTACAATCTTATGGGGCCACCGCTGTTGACGGAAATGTAGTTATGCGGCAGATGACAGTATTCTTACTGGAATGTTAGGAAGGGCTTCCTGGAGGAGGTGGCATTTCCCCGCGATCTGAAGTGTGAGTAGATGGGTGGAGGGATAGTAAGGCATGTTCCCGCCAAGGGAACAGCATGCTCAAAGGCGCAGAGGCATGGATCATGCACAGTTAACGTCTTTGGAGTGCGGAGGTGGGAAGCTGGGGATGGACGACGAGGTCCTTGAGGGAGGGGGGTCAACAGGAAAGGCTGTGGCCTGTGGTGCTTTTCACGCCCTGATAGACTCAATTCATCCCGGCTCACAAGCACTGACTGACTTGGCTGGCAGGGTGGGGCCTCCTGGGAGGAAGTGCTGAGCCTAGAACAGCTGCCACGGTTTTCCCTCCTCAAGTCGCAGCCTAGGAGAGGCCTTGTGGGGCTCTGACCAGCGCAGGGTGAGAGGGGCCTGGCCAGTGGTCTGGGCCACTGCAGGTCTCAGGTCCAGGCACAGAGTCCCGGCACCGTCAGGGAAGGTCCATCAAGGCTGAGAGCTGAGGAAGGGTCCAAGAACAGCCTGGGTTCAAGGGCTGGCTTTGGACCTCAAGGGCAGGACCTTGGTGGGTCATGGATAAAAGAAAAAGTCAGCAGGTCACAGAAAGTCCAGCCCAAGCCGGAGACAAGCGCCCTGGATCCTCACAGCTCATCAGATGGGTCCCGAGGCCCTGGGATAGGCACTGAGCACGCTCGCTCGGGGAGGGAACCTTGCACAGGGCGCTAAAGAGTCATGGTCTCAGAGGTCTCAGGCGAAGGACAGCTGGGCCCACTTGTCGGTTGGACACTGCCTTAGTCCGTCCAGGCTGCTATAGGAGTCCATAGTCTGGATCGCTTAAAACAAGGACATTTGTTTCCGTCTGGAGCCTGCAAGTGTGAGATCAAGGAGCCTGCAGGCCTGGTGTCTGTTACCTACACTCAGGTGTCTGTCACATTCACCCCGTCTCCTTGTCTTTACCTAGCATATCATTCTCCTTTACCCGGGGGTCTCTGTCACCTTCACTTAGGACTCTGTCAGCTTCACAGGGCATCTCAACCGTGTCACGTTTACCCAGGCGTGTCTGTCACCTTTCCCCAGCTGTCTCTCTCGGTAGCACAAGCATGGAGAACACCTCAGAGCTCCTGCCCACAAGATCTTTATCCAGGAACCAGGATCTTGCCTGACCATGGCAGGTGGAGGGGCTGAAGACTGGACAGGACATGCCAGGCTGAGCCACAGAGGTCCGCTGACCTTGAGAATCTCTGCTGCACCCCGCACCCCGCCGAGCTCGCCCTAGAAGTGGCACAGGGACTAGTACCCAGTCTCGCCACTGTAGCGATGGGAGATGGTCTACATGGGGCCTCGATGGCTGTAAGGGATCGGAGCACCACTCATCTTCCCAGCCCAGCGCCATGCCCACTTCCCAGGCTGCAGGGAGTGGGCAGGTTCACAGCATCCCTCACCCCAGGCCCTGAGCAAGTCCTGAGGGCGTTGGCCTGTGGCACAGCCAGCAGGACTTCATTCGGCCGGCCCAGCTCAGGGAGCACCAGAAACCTGCGTGCTGTGCCTTCCAGCAAGGCGGTCGATCAGTGGCGCGGTTTCCAGGGACAGCCCTTGTACTGAGCAGTGCTCTCCAGCTGGGATCAGGGAGCAGTTCCCAGGTCAGGCACCCACTGCACAGGTGCCAAAGGCCTGCAGCCCGGGAGTGCTGGAGCCAGTGGTCGCCGCTGTCCCAGCGGCCTGGCAAGTGGAGGGCTCCTGAGCAGGACTCTCTCTTGCCCTCACCCTCACTTCCCCGAGGGGCACACGAATGAGTGACATGTCATCTGCGCTGGCCACACAGGGCCAAGCACCATGTCCTGGAGCTGGTTCCTCTGTGTCCATCTTACTTCCCACCCCCTTGTGCCCAGAGCCCCATGACATCACTCCTGGAGTCAGCCTGCCCAGTGCTTCCGGAAACCTTTGTGGAAAACACAAACTCATGATTCTCTGGTTGACAAATATGCTTGTTTCCCCAAAAAGAGGCTTGGGGGGGGGCTGACAGAGGGAAGCAAGCAAAAGAGGAACCCTGGGGGCCAGGCTGAGGCCCAGCAGCATGTGTGTCTGTGAACATGTGGGAGGGCGGTGGAACCCCACTCCTGGCTGCTGTGGTCCTGGCTCCGAGTCTCATGTCCCTCACCTGCAAGGAGGGTGCTCACAAGGCACTGAAAGAGAAAAGGTGCTGCTTGGCCAGGCCTGCGGCAGAGCAGGTGGTATTCATGGCAACGTGGCCGCTCGGCCAGCTCCCAGGGCCCCAGGGGCCCGACAGTGAACACCAAGGGCAGCACCAGACCCTCTAGAGGGGGGCCCAGCACTAAAGAGGTGGGGAGGGTGCCGTGGACTGAGGAGGAGGAGGAGAACAGCTGTGGCCAACCCCAGCAGTGCGAGGAGCCAGAGCTCAGGGCCTGGGAAAGCACCATGTTTCCATCTCTAAAATTCCTAGAATGTTCCTTGGGCTGTTTTCAGTCTGGGTTCCCTTTCTTCTGGAACCCCAGACAAGACTCTGTTCATCTCCAGGCTCCGAAATACTAAGGAACCTGCCATCAGCTCCTGTGTGGGGGGAGAAGGGGCCCGTCCCAAAGGTGGTCTATGGGGCCAGGCAGGGGCGTAGTCAGAGGAAACGGGGCCGAAGGGGGTCTCCTCAGGACAGGTCATGGAACGGGAAGAGAATGGGGTTCAGCTTGCACCCCTTCAGGTGCAGGGCTCCTCTCCTGGCTGAACTGCCTCCCGCCTTGGCTTATCTCCTCAGGAAAGCAGCTCCCACCTGCTGGGGTGGCACTGGGGCAGCGCAGGCCCCAGAGCCCAGGGCTGGGCTGACAGAGGCTGGTGGAGTGCCCATCCAGCCCGCCCGGGGCCTGGGGCTGGGGCCAGGAGGCAGAGGTGAGGGCAGGGGTGGCTGGGGGAGGCGGAGAGCTGTGGAGCAGTGGGGGGGAGGGGATTCACAGCAGGGACACATCTGGCAAGGGCAGTGGGTGGGGCTGGAGCAGGCAGCCAGGCGGAGCGGTGAGGCCCAGGCCCAGTGCTGGGGAGTGTGCCCGAGGACCTCCCCCAGCTCCAAGAGCCCTCAGGGTCAGCTTCTGCTAGAGGCATGTGCAGTCTCAAGTCAGAACCATGCAGAAACCACTCCTGAGAAAAGGGAGGAGACTCCCACATTTAATATCACCGAGTACCTTTGTAAGGATCAGGTGAGGTGCTTTACAGGAACTGAGGTGAAAATAGTGACTGTGAAGTGACAGACGCATTTAGAAAAGGGGAGGTTAGGGGGGCTCTTTGGTGGCGATGGGCGGGGCTGGTCCGTCAGAGGCCCCCCAGGTCCGTCAGGAAGGCCAGCAGGAAGCGGCTAACGTGCCTGTCCACGATGACAGGGCTGAAGCCCAGGACGCGCCGGGCCCTTGGCAGCACCTTGGGGTCTGGAACACAAGGGGGGGGGGCTCAGAACCCACCAAAGATGCCTTCCTCTCAGCCTCATGGCACTGCAGCCCCACACCCGAGTGACGTCACCAAGCAGGCCTGCCAGGCATGGACCCCAAATAACTGTGGCAATCTCAACATGGCCAGAAGGAACAATAGGGATGTCATGCTGGTACTCGAGGGGCCTCAGCCATGGGCCTCTGGTCCATCCATCATGGCCATGACACTGGAGGGGGCCCCAGACTGTGGGGGATGCTCTGCTCCAGGCCCCACCAGGCAGGGCTTTCTAACCCCTGGGCCCTGCTGCACAAGATGCCATCATTCTCTGACCCCTGGGTGGGTGGGTCAGTCACTGAGGGTCAAACGTAGGAATTGGGGCCTATCACCACTGGGCCTGGTGGGCTCAAGCCCCACACTCCCTGTTTCTCCTGAGCTGGGCCACTGTCCCATTACAGGTGAGAACACTGAGGACTGGAGAAGCCGGGGACTGGTGCCTTCCCGCAGACCTGAGTGGGCAGTGTGCGGACGTGTGCGCGTGGGAGCCCCCTCTGCCCTGTGTCTCGCGGGGGTTGGGCTGAGGCTGAGCAGCACCCACCTGGAGGGCAGCAGTAGATGAGGAGTGCCAGCCCCGCGGCCAGGCCGAGACAGGCCAGGAAGGCCACGGGTCCTGGGGGAAACACAAGTGTCAGCGGCTGCTCATATCTCAGAGGGTGGGGAGGGGCCCTCAGACCATGAGGGACAGGCTAGTGCCCCATGCTGGGGTCAGCTGGGTGTGAACATCCCCCCAATGAGCAACCTGGGGAGTATGTCCATGGGAAGCCAGGAATAGAGCCCAGCTTGGAGAAGAGAAGCTGCCAGGTGGAGAGGGAGCCCTGGGTGGGGCAGAGGGAGACAGGAGGAGGTGGTTACCCCTGTCACTGAGCTCATGGCCGGCGGTGCCTGAGTCCAGCTCTGTGCAATCTGAGTTCTCTGGAAACAAAAGCACAGGGTGCAGTTAGTTGTGGATGAGCCAGGCAGGAAAGTGGTCATCTGCCCTCAGGAAACCAAGGGAGCTGCTGAGGTCCCTCACTCTGGGACAACCCAGCCCCTGGCTGAGCTGGAACAGGCTGTGGTGTCACTGAGCCCTCCAACCCAATTGGTGGAGTCAGTGCCCGGAAGGGGAACTAGCACAGTTTGGGGTCCTTCCCTTTTGTCCACTTCCAGGGACCCTGAGGGTCATGTAGTGGCAGAGGGCACTGTTCCCCAGTGGTCATGAGGCACCAAATGCAGCTGGTGCCAGTCAAAGGTCAGACCATGTCCATGTGTTAGCAGGGTGCTTTCTCTCCCGAGGCCTCCCCTGCCAGATGGCCCTTGAGGGCACCGATGAGCCGGGATGTGCTTGACTCCCAGCAGGGCTGTAGGACTATGATGGCTGGTGTGAGAGGACCATCTGGCGCCAGAGCTCAGAGTCAGTCCTGCGGGCCTGTCTTTGGGGTCAGAGACATCAGCCCAGGGTCATGGCTGAGTGGCCTTGGGGCCTCTGACCTCTCCTACGAATCCAGGGCGAGCAGCTCCTCCTCCTGGGGACTGGGGTGCAGAAGCCTCAGGACTGAGCTGCCGTCCTTGCCTGCACCTTCCCCATCCTGGTCCCGTGTCACAGGGACACCCACACACCTCCTGAAACATACGTGCCCTGAACTGGCCATCTGGGCCAAGGACTGTTCTATAGAAAAACACACATTGGGGTCCACCTAGATGAAGGGTGGACACAAGCTCCAGGTCTACCGTGGGGGCCAGTTCACTCAGGCTGGTACAACCCTGAGACATTTTGGTCAAAAAGGGTTCCCACAGTGCACTGGGATGCAGATGGAAGAGGCAGATGCTACCTTTTGTGTAAAAACTGGCACAAAAGGGACAGAGAGAGACAGAGAGACAGGGAGAGAGAGACAGGAAGACAGAGAGATCTGTGCTACCAGAAATACTCTCCCTACACTTGGGCCACATGAGGTGAGATGTGGCCAGGGGCAGTGTCTGGAGAGGGGCTGAGCAAGTTGGTGCTGAGGCCTGGGACTGGGACATGCACTTACGTAAGGTGTTCCTGCTGGGCAGGTGGCTGTGCAGGGGCTGGGCATGGATGTACAGGGCTCGATAGAACTCCTGGCAATCCCGCTCGCTGCTCCGCTGCAGGTGGCCCAGGAGGTCACAGAGTCGCAAGCGCAGGGATGCTTTGGGGTTCCGGAACTGGGGGCATAAGATACACAAAGGAAAGTCAGGCTGCAGGGGCCTGGGCCAAGGGCAGCTGTGGGACCGGGTTGGTGGGCTCCAAGGTCAGCCCCGGCACCCCCTCTGGCTCCAGCTTTCTCATGGGTGGGTGACTCTGCCCAGGTGCTCCAAGCACCCCTGTACAAGTAGTGCCCAAGGATGTGCTGGGGTCCCAGCAGGGCTGCTAATCCTCGTACTCCCTGTGAAGGGGAAACAAGTCACCGAGAAAGGCAGCGGTGACAGCAGCAGTGAACAATGAGCCCACACTGCAGGGCTGTTGCAGGGAATCAATGGGGTGATGGCACCGTAACTTCTAGTAATTACAGTCTACAGGAATGTGATTGACGTATTAAAATGACCAAGGGTTAAGGAGAAAAGAACTGGCTTTTTTGATGTATCTGATGGAGAAATGTCTGGTTCTAAAGGTCAGGGGACAGGGCACGTGACACTGGCCGCCAGGACCTGGAGGCTGTGGCCTGGTGCTGCCACCTAGTGGCATCATGCTGGTCCACATGGAGGGACCGCAGGTGAAAGGACAGGTGCTGAGGAGTTTCCTCTTCCCCGCACAAACGTGGAAAACTTTTCAAATTGTTTTTACAATGAATGCGTATTAGACTTTTAATTATGATAGTAATCCAAACCTGAGCTCCTACTTTTTAACTTCCTGTACTACTTTCATAACCTGAGAAGTGTCTGAGCCAGTAGCAGGTTCATGTGCGTTCTGATTCTTTCGGGGATCACCTTGTCCCCAGGAGAGGTCACAACCCTCCAGACAGCCCTACATGCATCCCCATTTACCTTGCCAAGGCAGGAAGCTGCCGCTCCAGGGGAAGGGCTCACTCAGTCACCTAGCTGGGAGGTAGGCCCTGTACCCCAAAGCCCTGCAGGTATAGCAGCAGGCAAGGTTACCTACTCTTACCCAGTGTCCACAAACAGGATGGGCCAGGTTGCATCTAAAATGTTTGTCCATTTTGAACTTTTGGAAGAGGCAAATTGAAGAGCTGTATGACACCAAGGTGGGGCCTGGCTAGTACCCCTGCTCCCTTCCCCTTGCCCCATTCCCAGGTTTGTCACTTTGTGGCATGTTGTCAACTCTCCTGTGATACTCCCAGCATTTCTGGAAGGGGTCAGCAAGCACAATAACATATAAAGAGACTAAGACTGAGTTGATGTTCTGGGTCCAAGGTCATTCTAAAGAGACAGGTTTTCACGTCCAGGCTCTCCTTCCTCCCACTTTCTCCCAGGCCAAAGAGGAAGGAACAGGGAGGACATGTCAGGCCCACCCCTCAGCACCTTTTCCGCATCCTTGTTGCTGAGGATCTGGGGGTAGTAGCGGTTCAGCTGGAGGATGATCCTGTCCACCTGCTGCTCACTCAAGCGCCCACGGCCCATCAGGAAAGGTGTGTCCTGAACCAGCCGGTCACAGTAGGTCTGCTCTGAAACAGAGGCAGAGAGCACGGAGGGCCTGAGTCAGCATGGCCAGAGGAAGGGCAGCAGGCCCCGCCACCAAGATGCAGCCTTGGCTGGAACTCCTCACAGCAAGGCCTCCATGCTCAAGAGAGACACACCAGCTGTAAGCACCTGGACAACTATTGACATCCCAGCCTGTATGGGCCTCATGCACAGCCCAGAGCCCTCCAGGTCTTGCCAGCCTCTTGGCCTGAAGATAGGTTGGGGAGCAGGTGTGGTGAGACCTATCCAGAATGCTGAAATGCGGGACAGAGCCTCTGCCCATCTCTTCTATGAAAATAAACACAGGGGCTAAGGGTCTGCTGTAGACAGGCCCCCAAAAGGCCCTCTGGAAATATACAGGCCTGGGGAAGGACATGGGCAGCCTGGAAAAGGCCCGACCCACAGCTTCCACAGGCATCACTGTCATAGGGACAGAAGCACAGGGCTCAGGGTGGCCTGTAATGGCGTGGCCACAGGATCATGTGAGTAACAGGTAGATAGGATCACCCCTCAGCCTGTCTGCAAGGCCTTGAGAAGCTGCCAACAGCAGATCAGTGTGCTTGCCCAGGGTGCTAGTGAAGGGTTTGCCTTTTGTCTTTTCTTTCAGGATCACCATTAAAACATCACTGTGTGCCCGGCCAGTGTGGCTCAGTGGTTGAGCGTTGACCCATGAACCAGGAGGTCATGGTTTGATTCCTGGTCAGGGCACATGCCTGGGTTGTGGGCTCGATCCCCAGTAGGGGGCATGCAGGAGGCAGCTGATCAGTGACTCTCATCACTGATGTTTCTATCTCTCTCTCCCTCTCCCTCTCTCTAAAATCAATAAAAAACATATCAAAAAAACACACATCATTGTTGTACCTTCTTTCCCACTATGAACGTTCTTTAAAATAAGCCTTTAAAGAAAAAGGGTGGGGTAGAGGTCGGCAGGTGGGGGACACAGGGTGTCCAAGGGAGGATCCCAAGTCCCTGTGGAACCAGCTGCCTGAGCAGATGCACCACCTTATTTACCTATCTGTGGCAGCTTGTCCCATTTCCCAGTGGACATGGGCAGGGGGCGAGGGGAGCAGGCAGAACTGTATAGAAGAGTTTTTATGTGATTGGAGTTAAGTTAGTATCAATTCAAATTAGATTATTATAACTTTAGGAGGTTATGTGTGATCTCATGGTAACCACAAAGAAAATATCCACACAATACGCTCAAAATGTGTTACTACAAAAAATCAGCTAAACAAAAAAGAAGGCAGTAATGAAAGAAATGAAGGGCAAGAATGCTACAAGACATGCAGAAAAGAAATAGAAAAGGCAGAAACAAGTTATTCCTATCAGTAATTACTTTAAATGTAAATTAATTAAAATCTCCAATCAAAAGGCAGAGGTTGACAAAATGGACCTGTGATGTTGTGATTTGTAAGAAATACCTATTTGGTCTTTGTCCTGCTTCCTGGCACACAGCTCCTGAAACCCTGGAACTTCTTAAATAGTGAACCATGAAATTTTTGTTACTCATAACAAGACCTTTCAGTCTCACCTGAATTAGTATTAATGACGTGACTTTTGAAAGCCCTGAATAACCAGAGTGTGGCAGCTGGTTGCCAGGAGAACCAACCAAGTGAGCAGAGGGTTGAAACTTTCAGTCCCACTCTCTGGGGAGGGGAGAGGGGTTGGCAGTTGAATCATATACCACTGGCCAATGATTTCGTTAATCATGCCTATGTATTGAAGCATCTATAAAACCCCAAAAGGATAGTTTGGAGAGCTTCTGAGGTGCTGGGAGGATGGCCCACCCAGCAGGGGCATGGAAGCTCTACACCCCTTCCCACATGCATTGCCCTACATATCTCTTCCATTTGACTGTTCATCGGTATCCTCTGAAATATCTTTTGTAATTAATTGGCAGTCATAAGTAAAATGTTTCCCCTAAGTTCTGTGAGCCAATCTAGCAAATAATCAAACCCAAGGAGGGGGTGGTGGGAAATCCGATTTATAACCAGTTAGTCAGAAGCTCAGGTGAAAACCTGGACTTATGATTGGCATCTGAACTGTGGGCAGTGTTCTGGGACTGAGCCCTTAACCTATGGGATCTGATACTGTGTCCAGGTAGATGGTGTGGGAGTTGGGTTAAATTATAAGACACCCAGTTGGTGTCCACCACAGAACTGGATAACTGTTGGAGGTGGGGACAAATCCCATACAATTGATGACCAGAAGTGTCAGAAGTATTGAGAAGTTGAGGGTTTTGTGTAGAAGTAGAGAAGAAACTGTGTTTTTTCCTCAGGATTAAAAATATATATGACTCAACTATATGCTGTCTTCAAAAGACTCACTTTAGATCTAAAGACATAAATAGGGTTAAAATGAAATGGGAAAAGACATTCGATGCAAAGAGTAACCAAGAGAAATTAGGTGCTATACTAGTATGAGAAAAAAGACTTAAGTAAAAAATTATTATATGAGACAAAGAAGTATATTATATAAAAGGGATATTCACCAAGAAGATATAACAAACATATATGCACCAAATATCAGAGCCCCCAAATATATGAATCATTGGCAGAGTTGAAGGAAGAAATAGGCAGCTTTATAATAATAGCTTGAGACTTCAATACACCACTTTCAATAACAGACACAACAACCACACAGAAGATCAATGAGTAAACAGAGGATGTGAACAGCTCCATAAACCAATGATACCTAACAGACATATATAAACAGTACTCCACCATACAATAACAGAATATACATTCTTCTCAAGTGCACATGGAACATTCTTCAGGATAGACCTCAAAACAAGTTTGGCCACAAAACAAATCTTAATTGATTTAAAAACACTGAAATTATACAAAGGATATTTTCTGATCACATGGAATAAAACTAGAAATCAATAACAAAAGGAACACTGAAAAATTTACAAATATGTGAAAATTAAATAACAGATCAAAAAAGAAGTCACAAGGGAAATTAGAAAATTCCTTGAAACAAAGGAAAATAAAAACACAGCATATCAAAACTTAAGGGATGTAGCGAAAACAGTACTGAGAGGGGAATTTATAGCTATAAATGCACACAATAAAATAGAAGAAATATCTTAAATCAATAACCTAATGCTACACCTCAAGGACCTAGAAAAAGAGCTAACTAAACCCAAAGCAGCAAGAGGAAGGAAATAATAAAGATGAGAGTGCAGGTAAATGAAATAGAGAAAAAATAGTAGAAAAAATCAACAAAACCCTAAGTTGGTTCTTTGAAAAGGTCAACAAAATTTATAAACCTTTAGCTAGACTGACAAAGAAAAAAAGACTCAAATTACTAACATCAGAATTTAAAGTGGGGACATTACTACCAATTTTACAGAAATAAAAAGGATTATAAGAGAGCACTATAAACATTTGTATAAACAAGTTAGACAACCTAGACAAAATGAACAAATTCCTAAAAACACACAATCTACCAAAGCTGAATTATGAAGATATAGAAAATCTGAATAGATGTATAACTAGTAAGGAGGTTAAATCAGTAATCAAAATTGTCCCAGGACCAGATGGCTCCACTAGTGAATTCTACCAACACTTAAATCCTTCTCAAACTCTTCCAAACAAAGAGAGGAGGGAACACTTCACAACTCACTCTTTGAATCCAACATTACCTTGATACCAAAACTAGACAAAAACACTACAAGAAAGTTATAGACCAGTGTTACTTATGAATAGTGATGCAAATTCCTCAACAAAATACTAGCAAAATGAATTCAGCAGCACACTTAAAGGATTTATTCCCAAAATGCAAGGATGGTTCAACATATGAAAATAGATATAGATCATGTGAAAATATAATAGATCACATTAATGGAAGAAAAACAAAAGATCATCTCAAGTGATGCAAAAAAAGCATTTGACAAAATTTAATACTCTTTCTTGATTTAAAAAAAAAAATCAATAAATTAGAAATAGAAGATAAGTTCCTCAACATAAAAAAGGTCATATAGGAAAAGTCTATAGCAAACATCATACTCAATAGTGAAAGACTAAAGCTTTTCCCATAAGATCAGAAATAAGACTAGGATGCCCACTCTCACCATTTTATTCAACATAGTGCTAGAAGTCCTAATCAGAGCAATTAGGCAAGGAAAGGAAATAAAATGCATTCAGTTAGAAAGGAAGAAGTAAAATGATCTCTGTTTACAGATGACATACCTTATATTTAGAAAACTTCAAAGTTTAAAAAAAGACACCTGTTAGAAATAAAATATTCACAGCAAAGTTGCAAGATACAAAATCAACACAAAAATCAGTTGCACTTCTATACACTAACAATGAACAACAAAAAAAGAACAAAATTCCATTTATAGGAGCATCAAAAAGAATAAAAAACTAAGGAATAAGTTTAACCAATGGGGCAAAAGACTTGTACACTGACAACTACAAAAAATTGCTGAATGAAATGAAATAGAAACAAATAAATGAAAAGATATCCCATGTTCATGGATTGGAAGACTTAATATTGTGAAGATGACAATACTACCCAAAATGATATACAAATTCAATATAATCCCTATCCAAATACCAATGATGATTTTTGCAGAAACAGAAAAAGCATCATAAAATTCATATACCAAGGAAACTTCATAGCAAAAACAATCCTCAAAAATAACAAAGTTGGAGGACTCACACTTCCTAATTTCAAAACTTACTACAAAACTACAAGTCAGAACAGTGTGGTAGTGGCATAAGAACAGACATATAGACCAATGGACTAGAATAAGGCGTCCAGAAATAAACAGTATTTTGAGTGGAAAAAACAGAGTGAAAAGATAACCCACAGAATAGGAGAAAATATCTGCAAAGCATATATCTAATAAGAGAAAAATATTCAGAATATATAAAGAACTCCTACTTAATTCAACAACAAAAAACTCACAAACAATCCAATTAAAAAATGGGCAAAGTACTTGAATAGGAATTTCTCCAAAGATATACAAATGGCTACTAAGCACATGAAAAGATGCTCATATTGTTAGTCAATAGTGAAATGCAAATCAGACCACTATTAGATATCATTTCATCCTTATTAGGGTGATAATATATATACATAATTTTATATATATTAATGTGATCTATTATATTGATGGATTTTCATATGTTGAACTATCTTTGCATTATAGGAATAAATCCTTTAAATGTGCTGCTGAGTTCATTTTGAATATATGTGTGTGTGTGTATGTATGTGTGTATCTGTGTATATGTATGTATACATACACACACACACACACACACACATATACATATATATATATAGAGAGAGAGAGAATATGAGGGTGTAAAAACTGGAATTTCTCATGCTTTGCTGGTGGGTATGTAAAATGCTGCAGCCGCTNTATATACATATATATATAGAGAGAGAGAGAGAATATGAGGGTGTAAAAACTGGAATTTCTCATGCTTTGNCATATACATATATATATATAGAGAGAGAGAGAATATGAGGGTGTAAAAACTGGAATTTCTCATGCTTTGCTGGTGGGTATGTAAAATGCTGCAGCCGCTGTGGAAAAATAGTATGATAGTTTCTCAAAGAGTTAAACATAGAGTTGTCATATAATTGACCAATTCCACTTACAGGTATATACCAAAAAGAATTGGGCCTGGCTAAGTAGCTCAGCTGCTTAGAATGCCATCCTGATACACCAAGGTTGCAGGTTTGATCCCCAGCCAAGCACATACAAAAATCAACCAATGATGCATAAATAAGTGGAACAACCAACTGATGTTTCCCTATTTCTCTCTTTCTCTCTCTCTCCCTTCCTTTCTCTCTAAAATAAATAATTAAATAAAATGAAAGAAAGGATTGAAAGCAGAGACTCAGATGGACACTTGTACATACGTCAATTGTACATATGTCAATGTTCAGAGTAGTATCATTCACAGTAGCCAAAAGGTGGAAACAACCAATGGATGAGTAAACAAAATGTGGTGTATATATGAATGTTATTCAGCCTTAAAAAGGAAGGAAATGCTGACACATGCTACAGCTAGGCATTGAAAACACTGTACTAAGTTTAAGTAAGTCAGACACAAAAGGACAAATATTGTATGATTCCACTTATATGACATATCCAGAATAGTCAAATTCTAGAAACAGAAAGTAGAATGGCAATTATCAGGAGCTGGGGGCATGAAAGGAAGGGGCGTTATTGTTTATAGGGGATAAAGTTTCTGTCTAAGACGATAAAAAAGCTCTGGAAATGGATGGTGGTGATGGTTTCAGATTTTGAATATATTTAATGCCACTGAAATAGTTAAAATGTTACCCCCCCCCCACACACACACAAAGGTCAATGGATAATTAAACTGTGGTTCATCCATACAATGAAATATAATTCAGTGATAAAAAGACCTATGAAATCATGAAAAGACATGGAGGAAACTTAAATGCGTATTTCTAAAAGTGGAAGAAGCTAATGTGAAAAGGCTACATACTGCATAATTCCAACAGAAAATGCAAAACTATGGAGACATAAAAAGATCAGTGGCTGCCAAGGTTTAGACAAAGGGAGGGGTGAATTGATGGAGCAAAGGATTTTTAGAGCAGTGAAACTACTCTGCATGACACTGTAATGGTGAATACAGGACATTATACATTTTCAAAACTCAAAGAATGTACAACACAAGGAGTGAATCATAATGTAAACTATAGTTAGTATTAATCTATCAAATTGGTTTTATCAAGTGCAAAAAATGCACCGCACTAATGCAAGATGTCCATACTAGAAACTGAAGTGGGGGCAGGAGGATCCTCTGTACTATTTGTTCAATTTTCTACAAACTAAAATTGCTCTAAAATAAAACCTAGTAATTAAAAAGAAATCCTCTTTCGAAATTCCAGTGTTGAATTTTAAAGAAAAGAGGTGGGGTGTTCACAGAAAGCAGATGAACCTGATTGGGTGGGGTTACCTGGGAAGGAGCGCAAAGAAACTTTCTGGAGTGATGGAAATGTGCTGACATGGTTGGTTCCATGGTGTATACACTTGTCCGAACTTAATCTAATTATTCACTAAAAATGAGTGCATTTACTTGTAAGTAATTTATATTTCAGTAAAGTTGATTTTTTTTAAATGGGGTCATTGTGTGGAACAAGAGGATCTCATCCCTGATTTCCTTTGTGGGGCTGACTAAATAGACCATTTGTCTTCCTCATCTCGCTCTCCCTGTGCCAGCTCATACGGGTTGGTTTTTTTATCCTAGAATACAATTTTCTAACTTCTAAGTTCTCCCAGCCCCTGAAAATCTACCTGAAAGACAGACTTGTCAGCAGCCCGATCATGGTGAGAAAGCTGAACACAGGATGCCGAGGGACCTGCCACAGCCACAGGAGCAGGGCCCTCCTGCCATCTGGCTTCAGCACTCTCTGATTACAGAGTTAGGGACACCAGCCACAGTATGCCCCACAGCTCGGCACTCTGTGGGCTCTGTGGGACAGATAATCTTCATCCTTCCATCAGCCCAAGCAGAACCACCACCTCTATTTCAGACAGGGAAACTGAGGCAGTGAGTATACCTCAGCCAGCTAGGGAGTGACAGATCAAGATAGGGATCCAGGCACAATGTCAGGGCCAACTCTTGACATCCAAATTTTTTGCCCCACTAATTGACTTACTAATGGTGCACTCAGCTGCATCATGTCTGTTCCTCACCAGGCCCACAAGGGCAGGCCCAAAGCTGTCCTGTCCAGTATGTGCAGCTGTGCACCGGGACAGCACACAGCGGGCACTCACTAAAGAGTTCTGCAATGAATGGATGGAGGTCTGAGACCCAAGGGCGAGAGCTGTTGGTGGACCTAGGCCAGCACCCTACAGCAGCTCCTCCAGCCCTGTGGGCCAGTCGCCAGGCGGGACTCCTGCTGCTGCCAGCTCTGAATCACCTGGCACAGTGGCACAGCCTGTGGGATGAGGGTCCAGGTTCTGCCACACCTGGTGCTTCCTGTAATCGCTGCCATAAACTGTGCATGCAAACCACACCCAAGCGGCCACTCAGAGGCATGAAAAGGCACAGGAAAAGGAAACCACTTTGGTCTCAGGTCTTGATAAACAGTCCCAGATGGGTTTTACAGGATAGGGGAAGAAAAAGGTTCTGGCACAAAATTCACCAGGACTTTGCCACTCCCTCTGCCAAGCCCCACCTTTGTGCCCAGTCGGCACTAGTACTACAGACTTCCAACTCATTACCCCTGCGTGCACTAGTGGCCTGGTGGGAGCCGGCCCCATCTGCTCTCACCTGGTCCCCCAGGCCCCTAAGCCTTCCCACATGGCAGCCCCCCACTGCACCACACTGCCCAGGAACCCTGCCCCAGGTCAAGAGCACTGTCCCTGTGGTTTCCACCTGGCTAACTCATGCTCAGCTCACTGTCCTTCCCCTGGAGGCCTTCTTGAGTTTCCCTGGCCCTGCCCACTGTAATTCAGATGCTTGGACCTCAACCTCCCCTCCTGAATGGAATCTCCTATCGCAAAAGTCCAACCTGGCCTTGGGCATGGAAGAGCTGAGACTGCGCACTCTCCGGCACACCACAAGGCAGGGAATGGTTCCACAGCCGCAATAACATCTGCAGTAACATTCTGCCAGTCCCTGCCCTGTGCAGACACAGCAGGTCCCACCCACTCACTCCAGGGCCTGTCACAGAGGCCCCGGAACCAGCATGAGGCAGGCCCCTGTCAGTGCACAGGGGCACTGAGCCATGGATGACAGGCCTACAGTCTTGCAGGGCTGCCCATCTGATGCTCCCAGACCTGTGCTCTCTGGGCCTCAGTTCCTCATCCCAAAAATGAAGGGCTATGTGGGGAGGGGTCTCTAGAAGTCCAGCACACAGAGACGGCAGGGAGAGAGGGCATCAGGGGGCTTGGGAAGACACAGGCCTAGTCCGTTCTGCCACTGGCACTTGGCACCTGACCAATCTGAGCTTTTGTTTCCCTTACCCATACACAGATATAATATTCCACATGTCTCCACATGGTGCTGCTGGGTGGGAAGTGCCCACTGCAGGGCCAAGAGCACCTTAGGTGCTCAGAAATGGAAGCCACAATAGAAAGGGTTCAGAGGAATGACAGGGGAGCGGGTGGCAGGTGGCATCTCTTCTGGCCTAGACTGGGACACTGGTGTCCTGGAAGTGACCAGGTTCCAGCCCATGAAACCCTACCTGTGCAAGATCCATTCTGAGACTCCAGCGAGTTCTGGGGAAGAAGGACAGGGACTGCTAGGGTCTGCCTGACCCCCTGGTGCACCCCTAAGTGACTTGTCCCATGAGGCAGAAGAGTGGGTCCCTCAGGGATGAGGTGTGGCTTCTGGACGCCCCCACATCCCCTGACCACTCTGCCATGGGTTCGCGACGGCGCATCACTCCTGGGGCTTCTCCAACAGGGGAAGGTCCCACTGGGCTGGGCTCAGGAGGGTTCGGAGAGGCACTGGGGGACTCTGGGCTGGAAGAAGCTGAGGGGCGGGGGCAGCCCAGCGTGGAGCACCAAGCCTTGGGGGGCGACGCCTGTGTCCCCCATTCCCGGAGCCTGTCCTGGGCTAGGGGGCAGCCAGCAGGCGCCAGGGCCTGCGGGGTCCCGCACCGCCCGAGAACGCAGCGCCGCTCGGGCTCCGGGCGGCGGAGGACGCGTGTGAACGAGGCCCGCCGGCGCCCA